AGAGGGACGGCGCCCAGGTCGGACAGTTCATTCCGGTGGCGGTGGATGGGTTAGCAGGAGGCGGCCGAGAGCCTCAGGGGTTGCTGCTGAGCAGGCCCGTCAGCCTGGCCGAGCTGAGCCGCCTGCGAAGGCAGTTCCTCAGTTACGCCAAGATGCACCCCGGAGAAGGCGAAGACAATCTGCCCCAGCTGGGGAGCATGTTTCTTCAGTACCTGAGTCAAAACCTGCAGTGAGAGTTGCACATTTCTCCCCTCTGTGTACGGGTGATGGACTCAGCCAGGACGCCTCATTTAGATACTCTTTGCTATTTAAATGCGGGACAGGAATTCAGTAACAGTTGAATCTATAGACTGCTGTCAAAACTATTTGGTGAAGACCAATGGAGAAACTTTTAAAATAATGTTCTTCACTGCACATCTATTTATATTTGAGTTGCCATTGTCATAATTTTATTTTTATACTGTGCCTTGTTTAAAGGTGTTCATGGGTAAATTCGACATTTATGGACAATCCTATGAGGTAAACTTGGCAAAAAAATACAGTGACTGCATTGAAGTTAGTAAATTCAGCATTCTAACCGAAGATTCAGTGCAATCCTGAAAAGCGTGTTTATCAAGTACATTTGGACTTAATGTGACTAAGTTTGCATAAAGAATGTTACATTGTGATTATTATATTTCTTTTTTGCCTCTCTGTGTGATTAACTTATTAAAGAGATAAAGCTGCAAGGGTGGATTGATCTTGACTGAGAAGGCATACCAAAGCTGCACCCATGAGTTTAGGAGTCTAAATGCTGGCATTCAGAATCCTTGCCTTTTGGGGTTCTGAAGGAAAATGGACTAGGAGTGTGAACAGAGCTATTTTATTTTTCTTTTTTCTAAAAAGAAAAGTTCAATAGTTTTCAATCCCTTGCTCATTATGTAGAAATCTGATTCTGGTTTTGTTCTCATGATATCAAAGGTGATGTTTACTAGAATTCAGTCTTCTCCAACTATTTAGAGTTGTGGGCCACTGATCTCAGCCTGTATCCTTAATATATTTGTTATTAAGTTGGGCTGATTGATAGATGGCTGATTGTATCTTCCATCCATGGGGATATTATGCATTATCTCAGCAAGTATGTTTCACTGTGTCTGTAATAATTTGGGGCTAATTCATCTGCCTGTTGTAGGCTTGTCAGTTCAAAGTTAGCTGTGCTTTTGATAATCATTTGAGTTTCTTTACTGTAGGAACAAATCCACAACGCAACAGCTAACATGGACTGAGTGAGGTTGTCATAAGACATAGACAATTTTGTGGTACATGAGTGAACAGCTACTATTACCTTTTTTTTTTCCCATTAATCGAGCCTAGCCCAAGATACTTGCTACCCAAGGTGAATGCTTGCTGCATTTATCATTTGTTGGTTACGTAATCTACCTTTCATATAATAGCTCCAGGTGGTGTACAGTCCTGTTTTTCACCACTACCCCAATCCTGCGAGACAGCTGGGCTGAAAGGGAGTGACTTGTGCTGTGGCTTCTGGTGAGGATTTATGACGGACTAGATGTCCCTGAAGGAGCAGGGACGGCATTGCGGTGGAGATTGGTGGCCAGATGGTGAATTCTGGCCAGCACAGTCTTTCTGGATAAAAGAGAGATTATGGGAGCACCCACTTGCACTCTGGACAGCTGCTCCTCATGAGTAAACTGCAGGAAATGAGTTTTTTGTGGTTGGCTTGTGAGTTGAGGGGTTTCAACCACAGCCACAGTGCAGCCTATATGGACACAAGGTTTGTACAAACCTCACTTCTTAAACACTTTCAGATGTAATTAGTGTACAACTAAAGAGAGATTTTATGAGCAGCAGGATAAGAGAATTCTACTTGGTGAGTCAACATTTTTTCTGGATTAAAAAAGAAAAGGTTTCAAAGATTTAAAAGCTTTTGGCAAAAAGCTTAACAAAGAGTAGATGTAAGAAAGTTTAAAATGGATACAGGGGATAGTTATTTTGAAAGATTATTTTTGGTGAAAGTGATTTAGCTTTTGAACAAGCTGAATCACTTGATACTAAATTGACAGCTTTTGAAAAAAGAATGGATCAAAGACTTGTA